AATCCAACTTTTTTTTTTTGGGGTCAGAGTAGAACCCAACTTGAATTGTGGCAAACTAAACCTAATCACCCCACAATGCTTATCTTTGGCTACTTGATGAAGGTGTGCTCGACTTCAGCGCTCACAACTACCTAAATACTTGATGACATCACCCACTATTCTCATCTTTGGCTGCTCAATGAAGGTGTGCTTGACTCCTATGCTCACAGCTACCTAGATATTTGACGGTGACTTCGCTCGTCGATGTTGCTTGCAGTTAAATTGTTGAATATTGACAAAATCGGGAAGTTACTGAAGATAAGACGACTAAAGATAGCATTCTCTCTTGGTGGCTCATATACCATGTAAATATTTTAGGATTTTCAAAAGAGAGGGAGAGAGAATTAGTAAAGACTACATTTTTACTCAATTGACTTTACTTTGCAAGTTATTAGAGGAGGGTATTTATACTCGAACAATATACATATGAAAGGAAATTAGCTATCTTACAGAATAGCTGAATATTAAATAGTATCCCTAATATCTGATAATATCTCTAACGATATTCTCTGAAAGAAAATCTTTACTCTCCATAGATATACTTCATGAGTTCGTGCTCTTTGTTCGTCCAATCGGTGAAGTTTTTGGATTTAGGGCACAATTTTGGAATTTCGTGAAATTTGAGCAGTGAAGTCCGATTTAAGGATTGTTGAACTATGAGATTTCATGGATATAATGGAATATGGCGTAGTAGAGCTGTTGGTCTTGACTGGAGTCGATTTGGAGCTATAGTTTGTCAGAGCGAAATTTTAGGGTTTCCTGTGCGAGTTTCGTGTTGCATTTAGGCTGGAATAATCGCTTCGAGTAAGCAATTTATTGCCGCCTATGAGTTGTTTTGTTAGCGTTTAAGCATAATTTAACTGATTCATAGTTGTCACTGTATTTTACTTCGATTTGACGTCAATTCAGCTTCATTGTTTGGATTTAGGACATTCCCAAGTGAGTGGTGCTATCTATTTTATGAATTTGTAACCTCATGTCTTGAAAGTGATAAATATTTGAGTATCGTATGAGTTATTAAAGCATGTTTATTATATAAAATCTGGATGGGGAAATTACTATCTTTTAGTATTTGTGAATGATTTGAGAAAGGTATTGTGAAAGGAGTTATATATATAAGTGCATCAGAAGTTCTAAAACTTATCACGAAAATATAATTGAATTGGTAAATTTAAGGCATTGCTATGAAAGACAAATAAATGTTTATAAATAACATAAAAAGTTGAAAATTTAAAAAAAAAACAAAAAATAATCGTCGTACTTCAAAGATGGTAATTTAATGACTTAGTGTAATCTCTAAACTAGTTGAAATGAGGATTGACGACAACAAACTAAAATTGTTGTTGAGTCATGCTAACCTAGGTTGATAATCTCTTAAAAGAGTTAGTAAATTTAAGGAATAGCTAACTAAGGCAAATAAAAGGGGAAAAAGACAATATAAAATGCCATTACTTTCGTATAACGCTCACTTTGGTACCAAAACTTTTTGCCGGATTACTTAAAAGCCAAATTGGAGAAAAAAAGATCACTTTAGTGCCTTCGGCGACAAATTCCGGTAATTCATCCTACGTGACTTTTTAAATAATTTTTTGAGTCTGACGTGGCTATTTTAAACAAATTCAAGTCCAAAGTGAAAAATAAAAGAAACGACGTGGCAAATGGTATAAAACGACGACCTTTCATCTTTCTCTCCTTCCTTCCTCTTTCGCTTTTTGTGCGATCGCAATACGCGCATTTATTTTTGTTCTTGGTGCTTCTCTCTACTACTCTTGCTGGTGCACTGCTGATGACATGGCCGAGGAGCGCGTTCTAGGACTCTGACGATTACTGCAAATTGCTCAGCAACCTCCTCAACGATGTGTTGTGGAGAGAAGTTGGAGGCGAGTTCATGGAACAAATCAAGAGGAATCGCATTGTCATTTTAAAAAAAAATCAACGACATAGCCTGTTTGATTTGTTTCGCCTCACATGGTTATGAGCCAATTCTTCTATTCCTACTCTCCACTGCGAATTTTAGATGGCAATTTGGCTCCAATTTGAGCAATTAGGGTTAGGGTTTTTTTGAAGAAGATAAGCGATTTTGCCCCATTTGTGTCTTTCGCATTTGTTTTTAGATTCACCGGAAGTGTTGGTGATTTTTGTTTCACCTTTTGTTGCTTTGTTTTTACTCATGAATGGGTTTGATCGCTATTTCATTCATCCATCTCTAAACCCTCGGTTTGTGCTCATGGAATGAGATCTACGATGAAAGGGGGTTTTTCTATCGCAAAGAACAACGAGGGACAATCGAACCGTAATAAGTGGCCGAGAAATCGTTTTATTTTTCTCTGGATTGGTGTTTGATTATTGCTTGTCTACATTGGCTTTGATTCTTCTTCATTTGATTTGGGTTTAGCAATATTTTGGATTTAGCGTTTCATGTAAAACAAAACGTCTTTTCTTTGTGGTTTTTACCGATTGGGTTTCTCCAGCGAGCCATGTAGATGGATATAGAATAAAATAATGCCACGTCAAATTTTCAGGCCACGCAAATGAGCGATGGCATTGTAGTGATCGTTTTTTTTTAATACAAAAATGACACTCAAGTGATCACTCAAAAAGTTTTTCTACTGAAGTGAGTTCCGTAGAAAAGTTATGGTACTTTTAGTGTCATTTTTCCCAAATAAAATTTAGTAACTCAATAGAAAATTTAGTAAATAAGAAACGGACAGTTAATTGTTGGTAACTCAGATGAAAGTTCGTAACAAAACAACTTGGTAATTTAATTTAACAAAAGTTGGTAAATTACTCTAATTTAGGTTGTAAATTTCATATAAGAGTTAGCAAATTCGAGACTTTTAGCAAGTTATGCAAATTACCACCACGTTAATTGGAAAAAAAAGTCACAGATCATTTTTTTCACCAATAATTTTTTGACACTTACCAATACCAAAAAGCCTCTCATTGCCATTTCAATTGCGGAAAAATTGAACGTAGATATGAGATTAGCTATGTAGTTGCAAAAGGCATATAAGAGATCCAGTAGATGAAATATCTAGAGGTTCTTCCCATGTAATCTGGCGAAAAAAATTAGGATACATTCTGGAACAATAAAGTCGTTCATATTTGGCATCTGCGACAGTTTTTACACAAACAATAGCGAACAAAAACGTAAATTTCAAACTGTCACTTAATGCAATAACCATTTGAATCAATTTCCTCAAAGTGTTGAATTTTGCAAAGATTTTCCTTCCTCTTCGTGTAAAAAAACTTTTGCTTTTTTTAACACGAGTGTGCTGGTCATTCAAATGGAGAAATTTTCTTCTTAAAAATGAAAAACCTTCGAACAACAAACGCAGAGACCTAACTACCTAAAGGTTGTCACCGGTTTCTCCTTTGCATTTATAGTAGTATAGATTAGTAATCTAGAAATTGCTTAAATAAAAGGAGGGTTACTTTTATTTATTTGAAGGAAAAAAATGGAAGATTACTAACCCCTTTAGTTTTCATAATGCTAGTCATTTTGTGATAACAAATTTCTATAGATTGCAATAGGAAAGACCGTGGCTCAAATAATTTCCTTTCTCTGTTCACCTGCATTGGTTGTAACTTTACTTCTAGAGAAGTAGACATGGCTTCCATGGTTACTCTGAGCAGGAGATGTTGTAATTTGAGCACGAGATTTATTGCATCTAAACCAAGTGCTAGTCCAGTCAAATTGAACCCTTGCAAGTTGATTTATATAATCTCAAAAGCTATATTCTCTCAAAAAATTAATAGGAATCAAATCATAAATAAATTGATTTCAACCTTTTATTTGCAAACTACCACAAATTACAGGTGACGTGACATAACGTGACTATTTTGGAGAAAGAAATTAATGTTTTGTAGTTTAAAAGGAAGATTTAGTTTAGAAATTTCCTCATCGGTTATATAGTTATATAGGTAGACCGCGGAAGATATTGCATTTGCTTTTTACATGAGAAGGCAATGTGTAACCTCTTCCTCCATGCACTTCCTTGTCGATATAGTCTCCCTAGGGATTCAAAGCTTGCGTGCTTGAATAGTCAAAACCATAAAGACATGCGCGTTTTGTCTTGCGATTCTAGATTAGTGTCAGCATCCCTCGTCCATAGGAAGTTATGATGGACAGTGATCAGAAAATGACCTCGAACAATATTTTATAGTGACTCTTTTCTTGGCGAATCAAAGACCATTATCTACATGATTGAAGCAATACTTGTTCTCGGTCCTAAAGAACCTATGGCATCTCACGATGGCTATGTCTCGACAGTCTTGTGGGCAATCTTTGTCATTCACTGATCCTTCGAGACGCTTATTGTCGTGGACGGGAGAGGAATGTTGCGAGTGGGAAGGAGTCGAATGTTGCGAGAAGACCGGTCATGTCTTGAGCACGAGATTTATTGCATCTAAACCAAGTGCTAGACCAGTCAAATTGAACCCTTGCGAGTTGATTTATATAATCTCAAAAGTTATATTCTCTCAAAAAATTAATAGGAATCAAATCATAAATAAATTGATTTCAACCTTTTATTCGCAAACTACCACTGACGTGATTATTTTGGAGAAAGAAATTAATGTTTTGTAGTTTAAAAGGAAGATTTAGTTTAGAAATTTCCTCATCAGTTATATAGTTATATAGGTAGACCGCAGAAGATATTGCATTTGCTTTTTACACGAGAAGGCAATGTGTAACCTCTTCCTCCATGCACTTCCTTGTCGATATAGTCTCCCTAGGGATTCAAAGCTTGCGTGCTTGAATAGTCAAAACCATAAAGACATGCGCGTTTTGTCTTGCGATTCTAGATTAGTGTCAGCATCCCTCGTCCATAGGAAGTTATGATGGACAGTGGTCAGAAAATGACCTCGAACAATATTTTATAGTGACTCTTTTCTTGGCGAATCAAAGACCATTATCTACATGATTAAAGCAATACTTGTTCTCTGCTCCTAAAGAACCTATGGCGTCTCATGATGGCTTTGTCTCTACAGTTTTGTGGGCAATCTTTGTCATTCAAGTAATGGAATTCGGTCATTCCAAAATTTCGACCAATGTAAGTTGTATTGGTGTAGAGAGGGAAGCTCTTCTGAAGTTCAAGCATGGTCTCACCGATCCTTCGAGACTCTTATCGTCGTGGACAGGAGAGGAATGTTGCGAGTGGGCAGGAGTCGAATGCAACAAGAAGACCGGTCATGTCTTGAAGCTCGATCTTCATAATCCATGTACTAAAGATATCTATATTGACATCTTCATACCTTCGGATATGTGCAGGCTGGGAGGTAACATAGTTCCTTCTTTAACTGAACTGAAGTATCTGAAGTATCTAGACCTCAGTCTCAACAACTTTTCAACCCAAAAAATCCCAATGTTCTTTGCTACTCTTCAGAAACTGGAGTATCTTAACCTCTCAAATGCAGGCTTCGATGGAGATATTCCTAAGCAGCTCAATAACCTTTCCAAGTTACAGTACTTGGATCTTAGTACTGACTCCCTTTTGGATTATTTAACCTCGAACGACCTTGATTGGGTGTCGAAATTATCTTCCTTGAAATACTTGCACATGTCCGGTGTTGGCCTTTCGAACGCCAAAGATTGGTTCGGTTCCATTAACATGCTTTCATCTTTGCAATCTTTAGGATTGAGCAATTGTCATTTGCATGATATTTCTAGCTCTTTGCAGGCCAATTTCACCTCCCTTAGATTCCTTGATATAAGTTATAATTATATAAATTCTTCTATCCCGCCATGGATCTATAACTTGAGCAAGCTAGAACATATTGATTTGTCTTCCACCCTTCTTTCTGAAAGCCCTTTTCCCTTGGCAATCATTGAGAATAATCAAAGGCTTGCCTTCTTTGATATGTCTCAAGATTCACTACAAGGTGGATTTCCAAAAAACTTTAGCAGTCTTTGCAAATTGCAAGTGGTACGATTAAGCATGAACTACTTCAGTGGGAATATCTCCGGCATTTTAGGTGGTCCCCTCGGTTGCGTACAAAGTAAGTGGAAGATCTTTGATGTTTCCTTCAATGATTTTAGTGGTGACCTACCAAATCAATTCGGAGAATTCAAGGAACTAGAGCGCCTTGATCTTTCATCAAACTTGATTTCTGGTTCTATTCCTGCCAATTTGGTGGAGCTTGCATCTCTAAGAGAGTTGGATCTGAGCTATAACAAAGTAAGCGGGACCATTCCAGAGAGTATTGGGCGACTATCGAATCTAAAGCTGCTCTATCTTGAGCACAATTTTTTGCATGGAGTTATAAGCGAACTTCACTTTGAATATCTCAAAAGCTTGACTGGCTTAGACATTTCGTCCAACGAGCTCGTATTAAATGTGAGCTCTACATGGGTTCCACCATTCCAAGTTCGCGGGATAGATTTGTCAGATTGTAAAGTGGGACCCGAATTTCCAAAATGGCTTCAAACACAGAGGAACATTACCTGGATGACGATGTCAAACGTGAGCATCTCAGATAGCATTCCTGATTGGCTCTTCGACTTCTCCTCTAACATTGAATTTGTGAATATTGCAAGTAACATGCTTGGAGGCCAACTTCCCCAAGATATTGGAGACAAGATGCCACGGTTAACAGTATTGATACTTCGAGGTAATAATATCACTGGTGGCATTCCAAATTCTTTGTGTAAGTTGAATAAGTTGTCTGTAATTAATCTCTCAATGAACCAACTGTCTGGGAGACTTCCTCGATGTTGGGGAGCATCGCCGACAGTGGCATATATGTTTGGAGATAACAAGTTAAATGGTCAGATTCCGAAATCTTTGTGCCATATCCAGCAATTATCGCTGCTTAGCCTACAGAGGAATGGCTTTAGTGGAGTAATCCCAAGCTGCTTGTCAAATCTACCTATAGTGTTCCTAGATCTCAGCGACAATGAATTCACAGGTAGGTTACCTCCATTTGGGAAACATTCTCAATCACTCACAGTGATCAATTTGGAGAAAAATCACCTTGTTGGAGGCATTCCTCCACAATTTTGCCAACTTCACAATCTCCAATTCTTGAGCCTAGCACAGAATAATATTTCTGGACCCATTCCCAATTGTATCGACGGGTTCTTGTCTATGGTTGATTATGCCCGTCATTTTGGGGGTTGGCCGATGCCTATTGTCGTCAATGTCATGGTTGACACAAAGGGAACTCGCCAAATGTATAGTGATACGCTTGTATACTTCTGCTCAATCGATCTTTCGGCGAACATGTTGGATGGGCAGATACCAGAAGAGTTCACTAGGCTCGTCGAACTTAAAAATCTGAACCTCTCTCAAAATAATATGAGTGGACAGATCCCCTCAAATGTCGGTGACTTAAAAAATTTGGAATCTCTTGATCTTTCCAGAAATAAACTGTCAGGTACCATCCCTCCGGGCATATCCAACATGGATTTCCTTAGTCATCTAAATCTGTCCTTCAATAGACTCTCCGGCCCTATTCCGTCCGGCAACCATCTACACACTGTGGACGATGAATCTGTTTATCGCGGCAACGACGGACTTTGTGGAGCTCCTCTTCCGAAGATTTGTCCCGGAGATGAGCCATCCGGTAGTGATGGGCGTGACGGTGCTAATTCCAGTGAAGGTAAGCCGAGCGAATGCGATTTGGACAACCACAATTGGTTCTATGCAGGATTGGGACCTGGGTTTACGATGGGATTTTTGGGATTATGTGGCACCTTGCACTTCAAGCGATCTTGGAGGGTCTCTTACTTTCGAGCGATGGACAGGGCCATCGAGAAATTCTTAATGACAATGATGATCGCCATGCTTTGGTTCAAGAGAACATTTGTACGACGCGAGTAGGAGCTTGTTCAGCAGGTAAAACTGGCCCCTTTCCTGCTAACCAATTTCTTGCATCTTATCTGGATTGAAGCCATTATTGATTATATTTGGCATCTGTGACCGAAAAATCGAGAGCCGGAGAAACTTGCCCAACTTTCAAGAAGTGCTTTGTGTTATCGGATGGATAAACAAAATGTGGTTTTAGTATTCAGCTTATCTTTTTCCTCTCGTTTTTGTTTAGTACGTGGAAGGATGATTATGTTGAGGACTACTATGGAAGATACATTCTCCTTTTATTTGATGAACTCCATTTGAAATCCACATGGTTTAAGGTTTGCGAGTGTATTAAGTGTAACACATTATGCGCTGTCACATTTAATGACACTTTGATTTAGGAAACAGAGCAATAAGTATCATTGATAATATCGTCGAGTGACTTGCGAATCTTTTAACGATGCAACTTGAGGGTGAGTGTACTAAGATACTAATGTCCTTAGCTTGTTTATATGTATCTTCATTTTAAATTATAACTAGGATTGCGCGGGTATAAAACTCCAAACTTGTTTTTTGGTATAAACATGATGCTAAATATGTGATTCGCATGTTTCTCACACTAATACATGCCAAACCGGTATCCCAAGCTATATTTATCTGAAATCAATTTCCTTCTTACAAAAAACTCCAAATCTGTATCCGATGATATAATTACCTCAACCTAATTTTCGTCTCACAAAAAATCAGAAATTGGTAAAGTTAATGGTAATCTATTATTTTGGTAAATTATATAGGGGTAATATTATTATTTCCAGATAATTTTACTACCAGTGCTGGTAATAATCTGCTATTGGACTTGACATAGATGAACATTTGACATTTGTATTTTCTTAAAATATAAAAACCAAAATTTCAAATATCTATGTGATTACTTTTTCACAGTATTTTTTATTTGAAAATTGCAACTGATGATTCTAATTTTCTTTGGACAAATGTGGAAACAAACTTTGAGAATTTGGCCACTGGTCAATTGAGATATTAAGATTTTATTTTGATAAATAAATAACCAAAGACTTCAATAAAAGCTCCAAGCAGAACTTAGACTCGCCATATATGGAATTCAAGAGCCGAAATACCTACATGATTGTCACGTGAAATATTTGGTCATTTGCCACGTATCATTTCTAATGCCTGAATTTCACGACCTTGAAACCTGATCATGGCCTTTAAAACCTTAAGTCCTCCATCGACCCAATTTAAAACGTAAGTCCACAATTAGCCATCAACCAAGTGAGTCATATTTCTACACTTATCCCTAATTTCCTCCAATCCAATCCCACACAAAACAATGCACTCTATAAACTTCATGTTTTTGGCTACAAATTTTCTGCACTCTTACTAGGTGATTAGACATACCATATCGCTGGACGTGGCATAGAAGGGTTCTCTTGCCTCGTTTTAGCAATTGACAATTTTAAAGAAAATACTTATAGAAGATTGATATAATATACTTATATATATATTAAAATCATTTCATTTTGGACTTTTATTAGATCCGCTATCTAAGTAACAAATAACATACACACTTATTAATGATTTATTGACATGTGAGAGTACACGGTAACACAACTAAGTTCAAGCACACACCATGTATGAATTTTTCGTCATACGAAGGTGAACAGTATTATTTGATTTATGTTTTCCTTAGTAAGATCGCCAGACGTTAAATTCTTGTGCGTAATTTCCATTAAAAATCGCGAGAATCCCAAAAATATCCCCAACTCACTTCCTTTTCCCTGAGCATCGCCTAGAGGACTTGCATGCCACCACCACCATCTTCTTCTTCTTCACTCCTCGACTCGCCTCATCAACTTCCCTTGCCTCTCTTCTCTCCATCTCTCGCCTCTTCTCTCTCTCCCCTCGCTATCTCCTTCCTTCTCTGACCTCCCCCGAGATGGACCTCACCAGTGACTCGCTCCGCGAAGAACTTGCCGACAACCAGGCCACCATCAACGCCCTGGGCAGCGCCGTCCGCGCCCTCAAGGCCAGCAGGGCTCCGAAGCCAGAGATCGATGCCGCCATCGCGGCCCTCAACGACCTCAAGATCAATAGGGCCAGCATTGAGAAGCAGCTCTGGGCTGCCGTCTCCGGCACCCTCACCAGGGAGCTGTTCCTTCAGGGCATCGTCAACATGCTCGAGTGCCGCCTGTTCTACATTCTCTCGTTCAAGATTTACCATGGTGTCGCCGCGCTCTACGTGTATAGCTCGCCTGGCTGCGCAGTCAGGTCGAACGTTTTGGCGTTCTGGCGTCAGGTTTGTGGTTGCCAATTGGTGTTAAAGTTTAAGGCGTTCGATTGTCTCCTTTATCTAGTTAGTGAAACGAAGGAAGACATTTGTGAAGTGATTTGTCAAAATTCACATTGTCTATAGAGAGTTCTGAGGAGAATTCTGTGAAGTGAAGTAAAGGGAAAAAGGACCTTGACGGGTGTTTGGGACCTTGGGTTCGCTAGAGATCATTTCCAGAGACTTCAAGGTGGAAAAATGTGATTTGGTTCAATTTATGTGCCCACTACATTGGTACAGGAGCTGTTTCCAACATGGTAGCAATTCTCTGTCTATGTGAACACACATGCTCGGATGAATGAATGTGAGGACACCTGACTGTTTGCATCAGATAGGTTTAATCCGAGATTGTGCACCTCCAACAACCTTAGGTCAAGATCGCCAAGATTGAGATCTCTTTTGATAAAGCTTTTCTTCGAATTATAGCAATTATGTACACTTAAAAATGTTTGGAAAACTCATCAAAAATTGGTAAGATGCAATACAAGCATGGGCGAGAAACTGAGCCTCCCATTGCTCTTTTTTACGGAAAAGTGCCAAAAAATCCTAAATCTTTTGCATTGGTGCCAATTTAGTTCTAAACCTTTTTTTGGTGCCAATTCAGTCCTAAACCTTTTGCATTGGTGCCAATTTAGTCCTAAACCTTATTTTGTCACCAATTCAGTCCTAAACCTTTTGTATTGGTGCCAATTCAGTCCTAAACCTTTTGTCTTTGTGCCAATTCAATCCTTCCGGCCAATTTTGGCCGAATTTTGCTGACGTGGACGCCAACCGGCCAGTCACTAGCGCTGATGTGGATAACTTTAATAATATTTTAATATTTTTTGAATTTTTATTTATTTATTTTTTCTTTTTTTCCCCCTCCCCTCCACTCCCTCCTTCCTCCAGCCGGTCGTTGGACCGGCGACCGGCCAGAGGCCGGCGAGGTCGACCTTGACGGCCATTGGCAAGGGCGGCCTCGCGTTGGGCGAGGCTTGAGCCCTCGCCGGAGGCCGTTGGCGAGGGCTCGAGCCTCGCCATGGCTGGGCGAGGCCCGACCTCGCCAGATCCGGCGAGGTCGTGCCAGCCGTCGGCGAGGTCGGGCCTCGCCTAGTCATGGCGAGGCTCGCCTTCGCCGTCGCTGGCGAGGGTGAGCCTCACCAGCGGTTGGGCGAGGCCTGACCTCGCTGGATCTGGCAAGGTCGAGCCTCGCAGGCGGCTGGGCGAGGCATGACCTCGCTGGATCCGATGAGGTCAGGCCTCGCCCAGCGCGAGGCCGCCCTCGCCAATGGCCGGCGAGGTCGGGCCTCACCCAGTGCGAGGCAGCCCTCGCCAGTGGCCGGCAAGGGTGAGCCTCGCCAGTGGCCAGCTTGGGCGAGCCTCGCCGGCGACGGCCTCTGGCCGGTCGCCGGTCCGGCGACGGGCTAGAGGAAGGAGGGAAGGGAGGGAAAAAAAAAGAAAAGAAAAAAAGAAATAAATTTCAAAAAAATATTAAAATATTATTAAAGTTGTCCACGTTAGCAAAATCCGGCCAAAATTGATCGGAAGGACTTAATTTGCACAAAGACAAAAGGTTTAGGATTGAATTGGCATTAATGCAAAATGTTTAGGACTGAATTGACACCAAAAAAATGTTTAGGACTAAATTGGCACAAATGCAAAAAGGTTTAGGACTGAATTGGCAATAAAAAAAGATTTAGGACTAAATTGACACAAATGTAAAAGGTTTAGGACTTTTTTGGCACTTTTCCTCTCTTTTTTTATGTTCTTTCATCATGCTTCTCACGTCGGCGCCCTTTAACCTAATTAACCAATCTCTGTTTTTTGGTTTGCTTATGTTTGTGAAGAGAGTAACAGATGATGAGAAGACATTACAGAGGAGTGAGGCAAAGACTGTGAGGCAAATGGGCTGTTGAGATACGGGCCCGAACAAAGCGGCTCGGCACTTTCGACAGGGCCGAAGCAGCAGCCCTTGCCTATGACAATGCGGCCATCAGATTTAAAGGCAACAAGGCCAAGCTCGATTTCCCTGAACGACTTCAAGGCAACACAAGTACGTGTAGCTTCTCTCCATTAGCGATGCAGACTTACCTGTCATTTGAACTTTTTGAAAGTTTCGAGATTTAATTGAACTTTTTGAAAGTTTTAGAACTTAATTGCACTTTCATGACAAGTTTTAGGACTCCTAATGCATTTATCCCATTAATAAAAGTACGGAGAGAAGCAATCAGTGCAACTACCTCCTTCGGTCATTAGCATTACCCTAAAAATCCCACACTTGCTGCATGTGTGATCATATTTCGACGTAGAATTCACCTTTTCCATAAGATTAACTTTGGACTAATACCAAATCAACCACGCCCAAGCTCAAGACTCTATAGCCTCCGATAGTGCATAAAATAAGAAATGGGAGAGGTGTGTCTCGCAGTCAAGTTTTGGTTGACTCGTGAAGTGTGACATCACACTTGACACTTTACTTTTGATAGTTTGAACTTGGAATGCTTCGAGAGGGGGAGTTGGTGAAAGTCAAATGCTCAGCTTGTACAAATTAACCATGAGACCTCGAATAAAAATCGAGTGACGAAATTGGCTCAAAACGAGTTCGATATCAACTTGCAATGTACGCTTGACCATGAACTGGGGAATGCAATAAGTGATTTGTCCAAAACTCTTTTGCATAACAATTTTGAATCAAGTCTATTAG